CTCCGACCTGTAATGTAGTACTAAGTAGACAGTATCAATAGCCTAGGATTTTGGTCACTTACCTGTCTTGTAGTACTTGGTACACCTTATCAATAGCCTAGGGTATTGGACTCTGGCCTGAAATGAAGTACTTAAAAAACCGTATTAATATCATAGGGTACTGATCTCTTACCTGTCCTGTAGTACTCAGTAGACCGAATCAATAGACTATGGTACTGGACACTTACTTGTCCTGTTGTAATCAGTGGACCATATCAATAGCCTAGGGTACTGTTTTCCTACCTGTCCTGCAGTACTTGGTAGACCGTATCAATAGCCTAGGGTATTGTACTCTTACCTGTCTTGTACCTTGTATCAATAGCTAGGTTACTTTTCCTACCTGTCCTTTTGTACTCAGTAGACCATATCAATAGCCTAGGGTACTGGTCACTTACCTGTCCTGTAGTACTCGGTAGACCGTATCAATAGCCTAGGGTACTGGACTCTTACCTGTCCTGTAGTACTCAGTAGACCATATCAATAGCCTAGGGTATTGAACTCTTACTTGTCCTGTAGTACTCTGTAGACCATATCAATACCTTAGGGTACTGGACTCTTACCTGTCCTGTAGTACTCTGTAGACCGAATGAATACCCTAGGGTACTGGACTCTTACCTGTACTGTTGTACTCTGTAGACCATATCAATAGCCTAGGGTTCTGTTCACTTACCTGTCCTGCAGTACTCAGTAGACCGTATCAATAGCCTAGGGTACTGATCTCCTACCTGTCTTGTAGTACAAAATAGACCATATCAATAGCCTAGGGTTCTGCTAATTTACCTGTCATGAAGTACTCAGTAGACCAAATCAATAATCTAGGGTACTGAACTCTTACCTGTCCTGTAGTACTTGGTAGACCGTATCAATAGACTATGATACTGGACTCTTACCTGTCTTGTAATACTTGGTACACCTTATCAATAGCCTAGGGTATTGGACTCTGACCTGTAATGAAGTACTTGGAAATCCGTATAAATATCATAGGGTACTTATCTCTTACCTGTCCTGTAGTACTCAATAGACCATATCAATAGCCTAGGGTATTAGACTCTTACTGTCTTGTGGTACTCGGTAGACCGTATCAATAGCCTAGGGTATTGGACTTTGACCTGTAATATAGTACTCATTAGACCATTTCTAAAGCCTAGGGCTCTGGTAATTTACCAGTTCTGTTAATGTACTCAGTAGATAGTATCGATAGCCTTTGATACTGGACTCTTACCTGTCCTGTAGTACTCAGTAGACCGTATCAATACCCTATGGTATTGGACTGACTTACCTGTCTTGTAGTACTTGGTAAAATGTATCAATAGCCTAGAATACTGATCTCCTACCTGTCCTGTAGTACTCAGTAGACAGTATCAATAGCATATGGTACTGGACTCTTACTTGTCCTGTTGTAATCGGTAGACCATATCAATATCCTAGGGTTCTGGTCACTTATGTGTCCTGTAGTGCATGGTAAACCGTATCAATATCCTAGGGAACTGAACTCCTACTTTTTACCTGTAGTACTCAATAGACCATATCAATAGCCTAGGGTTCTGGTCACTAACCTGTTCTGTAGTACTTGGTAGACCGTATCAATAGCCTAGGTACTGGACTCTTACTTGTCCTGTAGTACTCGGTAGACCTTTTGAATAGCTTAGGGTTTTGGACTCTTACTTGCCTTGTAGTACTCGGTAGACCTTTTGAATAGCTTAGGGTATTGATCTCATGCCTGTCCTGTATTAATCGGTAAAAGGTATAAATAGCCTAGGGTACTGGATTCTTACCTGTCCTGTAGTACTAGGTAGATCGTATGAATAGCATACAGTATTGGACTCTTTCCTGTCTTGTAGTACTTGGTAGACCGTATCAATATCCTAGGGAACTGATCTCCTACCTGTCCTGTAGTACTCAATAGACCATATCAATAGCCTAGGGTATTGGACTCTTACCTGTGTTGTAGTACTTGGTAGACCATATCAATAGCCTAGGGTACTGATCTCCTACCTGTCCTGTAGTACTCAGTAGACCGTATCAATAGCCTATGGTACTGGACACTTACTTGTCCTGTTGTAATCGGTAGACCATATCAATAGCCTAGGATTCTGGTCACTTACCTGTCCTGTAGTACTTGGTAGACCGTATCAATAGCCTAGGGTATTGGACTCTTAGCTGTCTTGTAGTACTTGGAAGACCATATCAATAGCCAAGGGTACTGATCTCCTACCTGTCCTGTAGTATGCAGTAGACCATATCAATAGCCTATGGTATTGGACTCTTAGTTGTCTTGTAGTACTCAGTAGTTTGTATCAATAGCCTAGGGTATTGGACACTTACCTGTCCTGTAATAATACTGGTAGACCATATCAATAGCCTAGGGTTCTTGTCACTTACCTGTCCTGTAGTACTCGGTAGCCCTTATCAATAGCCTAGGGTATTGGACTCTTACCTGTCTTGTAGTAGTTGTCTCTTACTTGTCCTGTTGTACTTGGTAGACCATATCTATAGCCTAGGGTTCTGTTCACTAATATGTCCTGTAGTACTCAGTAGACAGTATCAGTAGCCTAGGGTATTGGACTCTTAACTGACTTGTAGTACTCGGTAGACCATATCAATAGCCTAGGGTTTTGGACTCTCAGATGTCTTGTAGTTTTTGGTAGACCATATCAATAGCCTAGGGTACTGATCTCCTACCAGTCCTGTGGTACTTAGTAGACTATATCAATAGCCTAGGGTATTGGACTCTTACATGTCTTGTAGTACTCTGTAGACTATATCAATAGCATAGGGTACGGGACTCTTACCTGTAATGTTGTACTCAGTAGACTGTATCAATAGCCTAAGGTTCTGTTCACTTACCTGTCCTGTAGTACTTGGTAGACTGTATCAATAGCCTAGGGTTCTTGGCACTAACCTGTCCTGTAGTACTCAGTAGACAGTATCAATAGCCTAGGGTACTGATCTCCTACCTGTAATGTAGTTCTCAGTAGTCCGTATCAATAGCCTAGGGTTTTGGACTATTAGCTGTCTTGTAGTACTTGGTAGACCATATCAATAGCCTAGGGTACTGATCTCCTACCTGTAATGTAGTTCTCAGTACACCGTATCAATAGCCTAAAGTATTGGACTCTTCCATATAATGTAGTACTCAGTAGATTGTATCAATAGCCTTGGGTTCTGTTCACTTACCTGTTTTGTAGTACTCAGTAGATTGTTTCATTAGCCTAGGGTATTTAATTTTTAGTTATCTGGTAATAATTGGTATACCATATCAATAGCCTAGGGTTCTGGTCACTTACCTGTCCTGTAGTACTCGGTAAACTGTATCAATAGCCTAGGGTACTGATCTCCTACCTGTCCTGTAGTACTCGGTAGACCAGATCAATTGCCTAGGGTATTTGACTCTGACCTGTAAATGTAGTACTCAGTAGACGGTATCAATAGCCTAGGGTTCTTGTCACTTACCTGTCCTGTAGTACTAGGTAGACCGTATCAATAACATATGGCATTGGACTCTTACCTGTCTTGTAGTACTCGGTAGACTGTATTAATAACCTAGTGTTCTGGTCACTTACCTGTCTTGTAGTACTCGGTAGATCATATCAATAGCCTAGGGTACTGATCTCCTACCTGTCCTGTATAACATGTTAGACTGTATCAATAGCCTAGGGTAATGAACTATTCCTTGTTCCGTTGTACTCGTTAGTCCATATCAATAGTACTCAATAGACTGTATCAATAACTTAGGGTTTTGGTCACTTACCTGTCATGTAGTAATAGGTAGACCGTATCAATAGCCTAGGGTACTGGACTCTTACGTGTTCTGTAGTACTTGGTAGACAATATCAATAGGATAAGGTTCTGTTCACTTTCCTGTCTTGTAGTAGAAGGTAGACAGTATTAATAGTCTACGGTATTGGTCACTTTCTGTCCAGTGTAATCAGTAGACTGTATTAATACCATAGGGTTCTGGTCACTTACCTGTCCTGTAGTTCTGGGTAGACGGTATCAATAGCCTAGGGTACTGGACTTTTATGTGTTCTGTAGTACTCAGTAGACTTTATCAATAGCCTAGGGTATTGGACTCTTACCTGTATTATTGTACTCGGTAGACCGTATCAATAGCCGAAGGAACTAATCCATTACCTGTCCTATAGTAATCGGTAGACCCTATCAATAGCCAAGGGTATTTGACTCTGACCTGTAATATAGTATTCAGTAGACCATTTCAATGGCCTAGGGTACTCTTCACTTACCTGTCCTGTACTACTCAGTAGACTGTATCAATAGTCTAGGGTTCTGGTCACTTACCTGTCCTGTAGTACTCGGTAAACCGTATCAAAGCCTAGGATACTGGGCTCTTACCTGTCCTGTAGTACTCGGTAGACAGTATCAATAGGCTATGGTATTGGACTCTTACCTGTCTTGTAGAACTTAGTTGACCATATCAATAGCTTATTGTGTTCTGATTTCTTACCTGTCCTGTAAAACTCAGTAGATGGTATCAATAGCTTAGGGTATTTGACTCTTATCTGTCTTGTAGTACTCGGTAGTCTTTATCAATGGCCTAGGGTACTCAACTATTACTTGTCCTGTTTTACTTGTCAGACCATATCAATAGCCTAGGCTTCTGGTCACTTACCTGTCATGTAGTATGCAGTGGACCGTATCAATAGCCTAGGGTACTGATCTCCTACCTGTCCTGTAGTACTTGGTAGACGGTATCAATAGCCTAGGGTTCTGGTCACTTACCTATCTTGTAGTAGTCTGTAGACAGTATCAATAGCCTAGGGTACTGATCTCCTACCTGTAATGTAGTTCTCAGTACAACGTATCAATAGCCTAGTACTCTTCCATATAATGTAGACTGTATCAATAGCCTAGGGTACTTACCTGTTTTGTAGTACTCAGTAGATCTTTCATTACCTGTCCTGTAGTACTCAATAATTGGTATACCATATCAATAGCCTAGGGTTCTGGTCACTTACCTGTCCTGTAGTAAACTGTATCAATAGACTAGGGTACTGGACTCTTACGTGTCCTGTAGTACTCGGTAGACCAGATCAATTGCCTAGGGTATTGGACTCTTACCTGTAAATGTAGTACTCAGTAGACGGTATCAATAGCCTAGAGTTCTTGTCACTTACCTGTCCTGTAGTACTAGGTAGACCGTATCAATAACATATGGTATTGGACTCTTACCTGTCTTGTAGTACTCGGTAGACTATATCAATAGCCTAGGGAACTAATCTCCTACCTGTCCTGTAGTACTCGGTAGATCATATCAATAGCCTAGGGTACTGATCTCCTACCTGTCCTGTATAACATGTTAGACTGTATCAATAGCCTAGGGTAATGAACTATTCCTTGTTCCGTTGTACTCGTTAGTCCATATCAATAGTACTCAATAGACTGTATCAATAACTTAGGGTTTTGGTCACTTACCTGTCATGTAGTAATAGGTAGACCGTATCAATAGCCTAGGGTACTGGACTCTTACGTGTTCTGTAGTACTTGGTAGACAATATCAATAGGATAAGGTTCTGTTCACTTTCCTGTCTTGTAGTAGAAGGTAGACAGTATTAATAGTCTACGGTATTGGTCACTTTCTGTCCAGTGTAATCAGTAGACTGTATCAATACCATAGGGTTCTGGTCACTTACCTGTCCTGTAGTTCTGGGTAGACGGTATCAATAGCCTAGGGTACTGGACTTTTACATGTTCTGTAGTACTCGGTAGACTTTATCAATAGCCTAGGGTATTGGACTCTTACCTGTATTATAGTACTCGGTAGACCGTATCAATAGCCTAAGGAACTAATCCCTTACCTGTCCTATAGTAATCGGTAGACCCTATCAATAGCCAAGGGTATTTGACTCTGACCTGTAATATAGTATTCAGTAGACCATTTCAATGGCCTAGGGTACTCTTCACTTACCTGTCCTGTACTACTCAGTAGACTGTATCAATAGTCTAGGGTTCTGGTCACTTACCTGTCCTGTAGTACTCGGTAAACCGTATCAAAGCCTAGGATACTGGGCTCTTACCTGTCCTGTAGTACTCGGTAGACAGTATCAATAGGCTACGGTATTGGACTCTTGCCTGTCTTGTAGAACTTAGTTGACCATATCAATAGCTTATTGTGTTCTGATTTCTTACCTGTCCTGTAAAACTCAGTAGATGGTATCAATAGCCTAGGGTATTTGACTCTTAACTGTCTTGTAGTACTCGGTAGTCTTTATCAATAGCCTAGGGTACTCAACTATTACTTGTCCTGTTTTACTTGTCAGACCATATCAATAGCCTAGGCTTCTGGTCACTTACCTGTCATGTAGTATGCAGTGGACCGTATCAATAGCCTAGGGTACTGATCTCCTACCTGTCCTGTAGTACTTGGTAGACGGTATCAATAGCCTAGGGTTCTGGTCACTTACCTATCTTGTAGTAGTCTGTAGACAGTATCAATAGCCTAGGGTACTGATCTCCTACCTGTCCTGTAGTACTTGGTAGACTGCATCAATAGCCTAGGGTATTGGACTCTTACCTGTCCTGTAGTATTCAAAAGACTGTATTCAAAGCCTAGGGTTCTGGTCACTTAACTGTCCTGTAGTACTCGGTAGACAGTATCAATAGCCTTGGGTTATGGACTCTAAGCTGTCTTGCAGTACTCAGTAGACCGTATCAATAGCCTAGGGTACTGATCTCATACCTGTCCTGTAGTACTCTCTAGACTGTATCAATAGCCTATTAGGTACTGGACTCTTACTTGTCCTGTTGTACTCGGTAGACCATATTAATATGTCTAGGGTTCTGGTCACTTACCTGTCCTGTAGTACTCGGTAGACCGATCAATAGCCTAGGGTTCCGGTCACTTATATATTTTTTTATACTCGATGGTTCCCATTTGTGCTTAGTAACACAAATAAGATGATCAATTCTTGCATTTACCTGTAAAAGTTTATATACATGTGTATTTATATAGGAAGCGAAAAAGTGTGAACATAAAAACAGGACATAAAAATTTCTTCTTCAATCATAATAATCATCAAAGAGAGTTAAAAATGTTGAATATAGTCTGTTCCTCATTCATTTGACCCTGTCAATTCAGGTAGAATGAATGCATTCTCTTTCTCTTGGTCAACTCTTTTGTGTACAAAACAATGTAAGGAACCCTTTTGTTTACATAACAATACTAGTTCTGAAGCAGCCTATATGTCGTTCCTATAAATGATAACTCATAAATCGGCACTTACTTGTTCATTTTTCACACCTGAGTTACCTGTCCTTAAAACATAATATCAGAAAAGTCAAATAAGATGATTAATCATTTTAATAATTAAAAGTATGCATAAGTTATCATTTTTGATAATTTCATATACCCATAAATTAATCAATACTATGTTTTGAACCAGATGTGCAACATGAAAAATTAGTTGAAAGGCCTATATATTTCACATCTTTGCACTTCCCAGCATTCATATACTTATTCTTAATTTATTATGCCCCCCTTGGAAGAAGGGAGGGCAAATTGCTTTGCTGCTGTCTGTCTGTCTGTCCACTTTGTTTGTGTTCTTTTTCTTTGCAACCATTGCATATACTGAAATAAAATTTGGTATACAGATGTATCACATAACAAGAAATCTGTGAGCCAATGCTCACTAGTAATACCCCCGCTCTGATATAAATAAGCACTATCATGTTAATATACACAAGTTCAATTACAGGCAGATGCACAGAAAAATATGAAGTTGACATCAGATTCATATCAAAATTAATCCCACCATATGGCATGCCTCAACAAAGAGTGTGATAAAATTTCAAGCATCTGCATTGAATAGCTAATGAGAAAACTGAAACAAAAATCTGTGAGGCAATGCTCACTAGTAATACCCCCCGCTCTGATGTAAATTATAGCACTATCATGTTAATACACACAAGTTCAATAACAGGCAGATGCACAAAAAAAATATGAAGTTGACATCAGATTCATATCAAAATTAATCCCACCATATGACATGCCTAAACAAAGAGTGTAATAAAATTTGAAGTATCTGCTATGAATAGGTAATGAAAAAAATGCAAAGAAAATTTGTTATTTATGAAACAGACAGACGCACAGATAAACATGAAGTTGAAATCCAATTTAAAAAAAAAATGCATCCCAACATATGGCATGCCTTAGAGAAGATTGGTGTTAAAATTTCAAGCATCTACAATGAGTAGTTGCAGAGAAAACTGCGAATAATATTTGTTATGTATGAAACAGACAGACGCACCGACAAACAGGAAGTTGACATCGGATTTGTGCGAAAATGTATCCCAATATATGGCATGTCTCAGAGAATATTGTGTGAAAATTTCAAGCATCTACAATGAGTAGTTGCTGAGTAAACTGTGACGAAAATTTGTAATGTATGAAACGGACAGACACACAGACAAACAGGAAGTTGACATTGGATTTAAGCCAAAATGTATCCCACCATATGGCATGTCTCAGAGAATATTGTGTTAGAATTTCAAGCATCTACGATGAGTAGTTGTTGAGAAAGCTGTGACGAAAATTTGTGATGTATGAAACAGACACACGCACAGACAAACAGGAAGTTGACATCGGATTTAAGCCAAAATGTATCCCACGATATGGCATACCACAGAGAATATTGTGTTAAAATTTCAAGCATCTAGGATGAGTAGTTGCTGAGAAAACTGTGACGAAAATTTGTTTCGGACGGACACACAGACAGACAGACGGACAGCTAGACAGACAGACAGACGAATGGATAGACACACAAGGGTAAAACAGTATACCCCCCTCTCCTTCGGAGCGGGGGTATAAATATCTAGGTCAAGTTCTGTTTAAGGTACAATCGCACCTTTATTTACAGTTATGCCCATTGGACTTTAAAAAATTTCAATGATTTCAGTTTCTGTTCATTTTCCTTGCAACCGTTTAACATACTGAAATGAAATTAAGCTTAAAGATGTATCACATAAATATTTGGGTCAAGTTCTGTTTTGGGTACAATTGCGCCATTTTGACAAAGTTATGCCCCTTGGACTTACAGAAATTTCCAATTATTTGCAGTTTCCATTCATTTTCTTCACAAACATGTTTCATTTTATTAAAACGCATGTTTTCAATAAAAACGAAGCACAAATAGTTATATTTTTATCAGATACAAAAATGACACGCACTCATACCCGGAGCACTTAAACAAAAATTTTTGACGTTACCCGAGTACATGTACTCTGTAACTATTCTCAACATAGTCACCGTTAAACTCCCTGTCACTATATTTCTTATGTCCCTTTAACCAGTCAAAAAAAAATGTGCACAAAATGTTCAGTTTGCATACATAAAATAACATTTAACAATGCCTTTCTCATATTCTGCAATCACCTAGAATACGTTTGCATAAAAACTATTATATTTACGGAAATCCAGCAAAGTCACGTTATGAAATTTATTTTTTACAGCACTGTAATATCAAGATGGTGGTTTTCCTTCATGCGTCATCCTGTAAACTGTTCCTTCTGTCTGAAAATATTATATGCCACTGAAATGCTTATGAACACCTTCTTTAACTATATTTTCCCGATTGTTTACAATTTTTTGTCTCTGTGGGTGTCTACACAGAATTTTATCCATGCCTGCTGCTCCACCTAGTCAGAAAACGTCAATTTTTTACCATCACAGTTCTCCATGTCTGTTCTTTTGAACAATGCTGAATTAAGTTCATCCAAAGAAGTTTGGTTGAAATTGTCTATGATGGTTCTTGACTATATAAAGTAGAAGGGCACCAGATACTTTTATCAGAAAGCTCATTGGCTGTGGGTCCCCCAATTTGCGAGATATATTAAACTGACACCTTTGGAGGGGAAGAGGGTCACTGAAGTTCTTTAAAATGAAAATTTATTTTTCTAAAATTTAAGATGTTAGCTAGCATATTCAGCATCTTGAATAGATAAGGAAAATTCCATATTTTAACACAATAGAATGATCTATTTCTAAGTAATGTTTAAATCAATGTATATTTACCGAGTATTTATTTGAGTTGTCAGATTTAAAAAAAAAGTAGTTTTTTTTAACAGCTGCCTGGAATTTTTTTTTCATTCTTGCAATTCAAATAAGTTACACATAAACATTTAATTACAGTAATTCAATTTGGAATTTGAAACCAAAATATTGATAAGTATAAAACCCATCCATTTGCTAGAATTGCTTCTAGACAACCGGGTTTAGACACAAAGTATAATTGATTGAAAGAATTTATACAGTGACTATCAACAGTGTGTTCAATTTTCAAATGCATTAAAACAAAATCGTGCTTTTGCATAAAACAAGAATGGTGTTGGCTTAAAGCAAATGAACAAAAAAGATTTTAAAAACATCAAGTCTTCCTGATGACAAAATATTAGTCAAAATAGATCTTTCCTCGAAGTTGTAGTTAAATTGAAGTTCAAATTTTTTTAGAATTAGTTTATTTTCCTAAAATTGCCAGGTAACAGAATTTCCCAGTAGGTGTTTCTAATTTCCAGGCCTCATAGAAGAAATAATGTTGAATATCCCTTTCCTATGTAACATTTTATTGATAATATTGTAATCTAGATATGAACACAATTTTATTCAATAGAAATATACTGTATAAGGTGTCAGTTCAAGTATCCATTAATTGTATTATCTGCTCAAAGGCAGGGGTATCCTCCGGAGCCACCGGAGTCATTGTGGCCCACTTAACAAGTCTCCATGTAATGCTCCTATCCTCTAATTCATTACATGATCGAGCCCCCAATTAGTGAGTATATGTGTACTGTATATATAAAATGAAAAAAATAAAAATTCAGTCTTTAATTCTCATCTTTTGAATAGTAAAATGATTGAGAATTCTCATTAATTAAATTTATTTTATACTAACAGTAAAACTCGTTTAGTATGAACACGGATATATTAGCAAACTCATGGATATAGCAAAGTTTTTTCTTGGTCCCTGGCAAACAAAATTCTCAACAAATCTTTGTAAAATTTTATGGTTATAACACAGGGGTGGTACTGAAATCAGTCATTTTTGAAAATGATGGATAATGGTCATTTCTTCTAAGTATATAATGTACACAATTTTCTGATTTTTGTAAATATGACGTCTTTTCATCATATTTCCATTCTCAAGTCAATTTTCCCATCCCATTTACTCCAGTAATTAGATATAGTACACTATCCTGCCATAGACCCTTGTGTAGAGAATCATCTTGACAAGTAATTGAAACCAAAATAATTTAGTGCGCCCCGTAAAACTAATTAGATAATTAAGTGCGCCCAGACCTAACAATTTGATAAAAAATGATGAAAAACAGTCATTTTTAAAATCAGAGATAACTCTATTTCTAAAATAAATTTCAAAATAGAAATGACTGTTTTTCATCATTTTACTAAAAAAAAGATGAATTTCCATCATTATTAAAAATCAATTTAATGACTGAAAATCATCATTTTTAAAAATGATGGATTTCAATCACACCCCTGACTGGTATAACGAACTCTGATATAACAAATTTACGGATATAGCGAACTGATTTTGAGTCCTGTTGAGGTTAAAATATAATCATGGTAATGGTTGCATGTTTAAAAAATTATAAACATTGTCTACGACTTTTTGGGACAACTCTCGTATATATGGAACTTCAATTGTGTAAGGCCTTTAATGAGCAGATGTGAATCATTTAAATTACTATGAGCCAATTTTAAAAAATTGATCAAGTGTAAAATATGACGCCTCCATTTAAGAAATAAACGTTATTCAGTGAACGTGGCATTATGAATAGCAATAGCTCTGCTGGCATATATAATCGTTTTTATTACATGTACTTATATTTGCATTCTTTGATGTTGTTAAGAAAATCAGAGGAAATCGTGGCTTACATAAGGCCTAAAAAAATATTTGTTTGTTTCCTGCAACCTGATAAACCCATTCAAATTATCCCCGGGTGGATTTTCTTTTTCTGACAAATGGCAAAACTTTGTTTGATTACGTAATCAGCTGATTCCATTAATTAAATTTTAAAAAATAGCTTGTAGCTTAATTTGAGACATAAAATATGTCAACCTAGTTTACATTTACCTTAAAAAATAAAGAATAATCATTATTCTAACAACAGTTTCCCCGTACAACTTTCTGAAGTTTGTTTTCTGCGCTTGGCAGCCCTGTTGGATGCTATGTTGGGTGTCCACTGTATATATAACACCTGGTATTTATTTTCATTCCGAGGATGTTTCACCATTCATAAGCAAAAAAAATTTCTGACCTACTGACCCTTGATTTTTTGGGAATGTTACAGGAAACAAACTTTTTTTTATAAGCCTTGGTTGCGGCTTGTTGTTTTCAGTAAATAAAAAGTAACAGCTGTAAAATCAGTATACCTGATTTATAGTGTACTTTTTTTTCTCTAATAAATCACAAACAATTCTTTAAGTTTTTGCCTTTTAAATACAGTTATCTGGATACATTTAGCTGCCCCTACGTCACATTCTCTAATTTTTTTTTTGATGCAGTTGTGACGTCACCAATCAACGCTTATTGAACCCTATGACAATAAAGTGCCACGCCACAGCATGATACGCCTGTCAAAATATTACACAATTATCTTTAACAGTTTAGAGTGCAAGAAAATCATGTCAACCTTGATTCTAAGATTTCCATGATTTTTTAATTTTTTAAAAAAATATTTCTTTATCCATCCCCTGCGCTGTAGGCTTAATTATAACAAATATTACAAAACTGAGAGACTTCTATACTGTTTGTGTAAGACTTTGTCAAATGCCGGCATCATAATAAACAATATCAAACTAGAAAACTGACCAGTCAGCAAGGGCCCCGCCATGGGGTAGAATTAAAAGGGTGCATCTTACAAAATGATTAAAAAATTCACGAAGCATAAGCAACAGCAACTGTATTCTTAAAATTTCAAGATAATTCCTGAATATTCAAAACCCTGAAAATAATATCCTTTTATTATTATTAGGCAGTAAAGAACAACTTGACATAGAATGTATATTCAAACAATTATGAAACTTAAGTTAATATATAGAATGCCAACCTTCAATGAATGCAAATATCATGAAGGCTTGACCTTAACTTCAAGCAAACAGCAATTGCAGACAAAGGTTTTCATTAATCTTAAAGATAAAGAAAAGCCTTCTAAATTTTCTGCAGCAGGCTAGATAATTAATCCCAAAGGATTAATTGTACCTCTCTCATAATTTTCTTCTAAAGTTACAATAAGAACTTTTTCAGTATTAATGATAGAATCGGTTTTTTTTATACACAACCTTAAAAATTGATTAACATTAAGTGAAAAAAGTAAATCAAAAAATCTTCTTTAATATATTTCGATCTTGTTTTCAGAATTTAATGAAATCATAACAATTAAACAAAAATAAATTATAAAAATTTATATTTAAATCCACATTTTAGAGTGTTCATAGCATTCCAAATTGACTCAACTTCAACACAAACTTCATTTGCAGTCGGCTGCATTTCATTTCCGGAATTTTTTGTAATTATCAACTTTTCATTTCCGACATTTTATAGTTTTCATTTCCGACATTTATCTGTTTTCATTTCCGACATTTTTTTCAAATACATATGTATAGTCTAGCTACCTTTAGTAACAGATTTGAAGACGTTACTTATGAAAAATATAAAGGATTAAATCATAAATAAATTATTGAAATCCAATTTCTGAGTTTTGTAAATGTTTGGTGCTGTCACTGACATTTAATTTAGTGCACGTGCACACTAAATGTGGTTAAAAGGTTTTATGCTTATTGAACTATTTTTTCCTAGGACAAGTGTTAAATGTATGCATAAGCTTTTTTTAAATCATTATTTTGGTAGACAAACTTTTAAATTCCAATTTCATTTATGTAGAAAACATTGAATTGCCGCACAGATAAATTCCGGAAATGAAAAAAAATATGTCGGAAATGAAAACAAAAAATGTCGGAAGTGAAATAAAAAAAAATGTCGGAAATGCTATGCATATTTCCGGAAATGAAATGCAGCGGATACCTTTGCAGACAGAGGTGGTAATTCATCTCAATGTGACAGATAAAGATAATGCTCTGGATTTTCTTCAGGAGGAAAGCTAATTAATCCCAAGGGACTCATAGCCAGCATTCAGTTTACAATGGGAACATCTTCAGCAGTTTTCCCTCTTTGCCAATGCATTCTTATATGAAGTTAAGGAATCTACCCCACCTCCCCAGCTCCAAACCAGGGGACAAGGAGAATCAAACTTAACATCAAAATATGTATATCTGCTTACTGGACTACCATACCAAATTTTTACCTGATTGGGCAACCATAAAAAAGTTGCCCATTCATTCTTATGCATAGTTAAGGAATCTACCCCACCAACCCAGCTCCAAACCAGAAGACATAGAGAACCAAACTTAGCATCAAAATATGTATTTCTGCCTACTGAACTACCATACCAAATTTGAACTTGATTGGGCAACCACCAAAAAAGCTATTAGAAAAAAATAGAAAATTTGTGGACGGAAGAGTGACAGACGGACAGACAGAGTGATTACTATAGGGCACCCACAAATCCCTGTGGGACCCTAATTAGTCTTAACAACTTACGGTAATCTATGCCAAATTAATTTTGAAAAGAAGGGCTAGCCATCAAATGACATACCGGTATGCTATAAACTGACCAGCAATTTTTCTGTCTAATCCCCAAAGGATACAGATATTAGGCAGCACTTGATCAGATAGCCTTCCTATATTAAACTCATTAATTAATCTTTAACTGGATGCTTGTCTATTCATTACTCCCTAAATATTAATGGATCTGCACTTTTTATCCTAAAACACTTTAAAACATATAAAATACTCCATGATTTCTTTTTAGATTTAATGCAAGACAGGTTTGATATTTAATTCATATGGACAAGTAGAAATGCTGATTAAACCCCACCCCATAAAATTAGTTTTTAATTAATTAATATTATATAATATCAGATTATTAGTATATTATGCAATATCAAATAAGTTTTAATTACTTTTCATCAAATTCATTTTAAAACTTAAGCTAGGAACAAGAGCTATTTTTTTTATCTATTTTAGCTAGGCTGGCTGTCCATTTGCTCAATATCCAAGGGAAATAGATAACACCAATGATCTACTATTTAACCTCCTCACACTAAACTCATTAATTTCTCTCTTGATAAAAAAAAACCACCCTTGAAAATTGACATAAAATACTAATTTGACATGCAACTTTCTGCTATCAAAATTCTTCTTGACCAGTGCTTGATACTGTAAACGTCCTTATATTGACGAGTTGAAAAATTGACAATTTTTTGTTTACGAAAATTGACGAGTGTTAATCTTGACGAAATATTTAATCTAGAGTTTAAAATCTTTGAATTCACAGTGATACAAAGGCAGTGTTGGAATCACTAAAATATAATTTTTGCACAAACTATTTTTGTGTGTAAGATTTGATTAAATAAATTGCCCTCTTGTTATTTGATTTCATTATAAGCGGTCAAATGCCTGAGGTAACAAACAAGGTCAAGCACGGTGTGATGATTATATACGCTAAATTACGCTTGCAGTATTTGATACACTAATTTAGATTCAATGGTTTTTAAAAATGTGATTTTATATCACTATGTTTTCTTAACTAATTACAAAATAAATTAACAGTGACTTTGATGTCATTGCCAAACGAAAAAGATGTTAAAAGTTTAGGGGTAAATTGTACAATGGTCAATGTCTGTTGTGTCTCTTTGAATATGATAAGAAGTTTGACAAGTGCAAATTTTGACGAGAAAAGAAGAATCTTCAATATAGTAAAAATTAGCACATCATCAAAATTTCCACGTTTACAGTAATTATGCACATGGGACAAACTGAATTCCTCTCTTAATATTGAAATTTGTTTAAGATTGAAGTAAAGTATATGATGAAAAAAAAATGTTTTTACTTGATTTAATACTTTTTAATAAGGATACAAATCTATTTTTTACATTTTTAGGATAATGAAATTTAAAATTTAAAAAACTTTTATTTAAATTTCACTAATTTAAAAATTAAAGGTAACATATTGACCTTGAAATAGGTCGTGACACACCTTCTACCTAAGATGTATACTTTTGCCAAGTTTGATAGATCTAGGTCTAATAGTTTTCTCGTTATGAGTGGGACAGGATTTTAGTTATGAGCCAGACAGGATTTTTCCAAATTTGGCCATAGCATCTTTATTAAAGTTCAGAGCAAACTACTACCAAAGAAGTATCGGTTGACAAAGTTTGATAATCCTTATAAGGCCTAATAGTATTGAAGTTATGAGCAGGACACGAAAAGACAGACTGACAGATAGACATGAAGCCTATGACATAATACGTCCTGTCTTAAGACGGGCATATAAAAATTAACAAGAAACATATTGACGCAGGCGTCAAAAATCGGCCGCAAACCAATTTATATAACTGTTGAAGTTCCTTTCAGAAACTGAAATTTGCTGTTTTTAAAAATAAATTCTTCAGAAACTGAAATTTGCTGTTTTAAAAAAAAATTCTTATATTTATCTGTTAAAATATCCTCGTGACATGAAAAAAATGCATGCGACAATGCGGATTCCATAATGCATGTTCAGTATTATATGTTTAGGCAATATAAACTATGCAATAGTCCTCTGCGTCTCTGCACTCAGTTTGGTACAACTTGCTGTTTAAGTAGTTTTTACATTATAAAAGTACAAACTAAAGTTTAAACTTAGCTATAGTTTCACCTTAATAAAAACACAACAAATATTTAACATGTGAGGCTCCTCGCTCTCTCTTATAGGAGGTTACCCCCCCCTCCCCCCACACCCAACTCCTTCAAGATCCACCACTACACTTATTCTCTTTCAATCTCTTTGTTTTGGTGTTGAGATGTGGCGGGAAAATGTTTGGCACATTGTAAAACGCGCTCTATCCTAGTTTCCTGGACCAGCATGTCGTAATATTCTTTGTTTTTAAAAAATCAATATTTCATCATATTTTTGAAAAATATCCATAGGAAATGTTTTATATACACTTCATTTCAAATTTATACAGCAGATCCTGTTTTAAAAAGAGAAAGTAAAATTTTCGATTTACGTTACAACGTGGTTTTTGTTTTAGACTATGCCTAACACTCCAACTAATTTTCTCCGCACTTCAGTTATATCAGAGTTTGTCAATCAGGATTGGATGAAATTTTTACCCCATTATTTATAAAATTGAATTTTACGATTATTGTGCTTTTTCCTAAACATTTAGAAATCTTTGTTTAATATTAAAACGCTGGCGATATGATGTTGAATATTTTTATTTAAATTGCTAGCTCCGCAGAAACGCACAGGGACTTCAAACTTTCATATCATATAACCGACCGCCTCCTGGCGGCCGGTAATAATTTAACGTTGCGTGAAAAACAACAAAGCTCTAATAAAGATTATGACTCCAGAATGCTTTCTATGATTTTTTTAAGTTCTTCTATTTATTTTTAGAGCCGAAATCCTTCTTGAAATAGATATACTATTGAAGAAATGTTGCTTTGCTGAATGTCAAAACCCCAAGTGTGAAGAGTTATTGTTCTTTGTATAAATATGCGAAAATATGACATGAAAAAAATTAATAAGGCAGTTCTCTTCAATTTTTAAAAATTTTTATTATACAATTAAAAGCATTGACCAAAATAAGATTTTTAAAGTTGTAAATCAGCAATTTTAAATTATTCTGAATTTTTTTTTTTTTTTTTTTTTGGAAGAATATTATAAAAAAAACTTATATTTATTCCTTTTGCTAAACATTTCATATATATATACTTCTCAACACATTGTATAAGTGTAGAAGAGCTTGTGCTACACTTGTGTGAAATAGCAATTGCATTCATACATGTAGCAGAAGTAGTTGCGTCTATAGTCTTATGAACGCAATTGATGACTGCATGTTCATAATTGGAGAAAGCAGTGGATATGCAAATATAAATAAATAGCATCAATGCCATTGCTTTACCAAGCAAAAATGTCAATTTAACTTGTTTTAACACTGAAGGTTTTTCATAGTGGGAGAAAGCAGTGGATATGCAAATATAAATAAATAGCATTAATGCCAAATATGTTTTACCAAGCAACAATGTCAATTTAACTTGTTTTATAATTAACATTGAAGGTTTGATCCTGATATTTACAGTCTTCAGCTTTTTATGTCAAGTAATAACTGCCATATGATATATGATTTATAAAATATTTAACATACCAATGTTGCCAAGTATTCCATCATATCTAAATGACTTATAAATCCAAATACACCAGTAGTTCTTCAATGTGTTGTGCCCATAATTTGTGATCCCCAGTGTAAGTTCTTGAAGTATCATTATCCTTTGTCTGAAATATTTCAATAATTTATTGTATACAGTGGACCCTCATTCATCCGGACGATTTGACTTCCAGTTCTCAGTGAAATCCGTTCATTTTTCATGAAAAATCAGTAAATGTTGATGAAATTGAATATGTTCCCAAGCATTAACCACTTTATTTTTTGTGTATAAAATAATTGGTTAAAAATCTCTGTCCAGAATTAAATTCGTGTCCGTTAATGAGTGGGAACAGTATTCATTTTTTATAAATAGTAAGTCCGGAAATGAAAATTATGCAACATTATTTTACGCTGATTTTACAGTCAGTATTTATGTAGGGAACAAATAATATTAACAGCTGTTTTAACATGTAAACACAAACAAAATCATACAAGATAAAATCCACATATGCTTATAAATAATTATCTTTCAAGTTTATAAAATCCTTTTAATCTAGTGTCAGGAATTTCATTGATAGCATGGTTCAGAATGTACGTATATAGCGTTTTAATCCTTCCTCAATATATATGTGCATTTGATGGTGACCTGATAAAGGATACATACATATGTTTTTTAAATAATCTTTTAAGTTATGCTTTTATTCAAAAGTAGTGAAACTTTACAAGTATATAACTGCCCCTGCGAAATGATCAAGAATAATTCTTTATGATTTATATTCTTGAATCAGCTCATGAATTGTTGAAGTTAAAATTGCATGGACACTCATGATTTCAAGGATTTTATTCATGAAAACCAAGTTCAAGAATATTCAAGAATTATTTGTTGTTCATGAACAAACTTGGATTTTTTAATTGCCTGCAAAATGATCAAGAATAATTCTTGAAATTTCAAGAAAACTTTATAAATTATATTCTTGAACCTTAATTCAAGAAAAGTTCATGAATGATATAAATAGGTTTAATGCATGAACTATTCATGAATAAAATGTAAAAAATATTTAGGAATGTTCATGAACTATTCATGAATGTTCTTGCTTTTTGTAAACAAAAATGTAATAAATTATGCAAAATGAAAAACTGTAAAAGAAACTATTTTAATAGTATCTTGAAAGATTTCACAGAATTATTTTTCCAATCATGGTAACAAAATATTTGTTCAAGTAAACAACTCTGATAAGTGATGTCGATAATAAATAAATTTTGTAGTTCATTCCTAGTAAAATTATGAAAAAATTTAATTCAAACGCAACTCTTTGCAGAATCCTCAACTTACTTGGTCAAGAGGAGTGTGGGTTCCTTATTCAGCGTATTTCAGAGTGTATGCTTAAAATGCAATGATTTTTAGATGGTGTCACTTTTATTTTAATCTCAGAGGCCTAAAAATAGAAAAAGGAAGCCATGGTGATAACACATGAATTAAATCTACGGTACGAAAGGGTGCAGAAATTGTTTCGATCAATTTGAAAACATAAACATATTATATCAAACTGAAGAAATTGATATGAACCTTTCTCTATCTCAACTAATAAAGTATTTTGATAATTTAAAACTAAAAATATTAACTGTAAATAACACTAGTAGACAAAGTACTATCCTGCATAATATTATGACTGTACACATCATCCATTGTTTACTTCCGGAAAATTTATTAGTTCGTACCTGATGAAATTCGGAAAAGTTCAGAAAGGTTTCCAGACTGAGCAATTATTAAAATTTCTCTTCAAATCAAATTAAATGAAAAATGAATGTATATATCTTTCATAGTTTTTTTTTTTTAGAATGTTAATGGAAAGATAAAAGTTGTTATTAAAACTCTACAAAAAAATCACATTTGTGAAATCTAGCATGAAGATTATTTTGACCCCGTCTTTCAGTACTGTCTCAGTACTTTGATTAATCCAAGTCTCACTGTCTGGCAGAAAAGTGTGTTTAGCAATTAGGGCATCAGCTAAAAGGGCTTTCAAGGGTTTTGAGAAGAAGTGGTCAAATAAAAATTAATAAAGTGCCACGCCACAGCATGATAAGCACGTCAAAAAATTACAATTACAATGTATCTTCAGGGCTCAACATTAACTTTAAAACTAGATGCTGTCATGAGACAGTAATACCCGCACTTAGGTGTTTGCCTCTAAATACACGCTCCTACATATTGGGCGGCTTTCCAAGGAAATAGTCAAAATAATTCTATAATTTACATGTATTAATCAAATTGATTATGAAATTCTCAGACCCTGTGATGACCTATAACTCAAAACCTCTTATATTTATTTTGTACATGCTTAATTCATTATATACCAGTCTGAATTTTATTAATGATGTAAATTCATGCACGGATCTGTCGGGGGGGGGGGGGGGGGGGGGTCCCCCCTGGAATTTACAAGGTTAAAAAATGTATACACTAAAACAAGGAAAAAGTTACAATGGACCCCCCTTGGAAAATGCAGATCCACCACTACCCCCACCCCACCTCCACGATATAGGTTTTTGACGTTTGGGTGAGATTTACTTTAGGGTTTTTTTTGGTTGTCAATTTCTGGGATAGGATTTTTTTTGACTGAGGTCAACCCCCCCCCCCCCCCCCCCCCCCCCCCCCCCCCCCCCCCCCCCCGAAAGAAAATTCTGGTATCCGCGTCTGAAGTTAGATTAGATTTTGATAAAACTTGCCATTATCTCCCCTTGGAAAAGAGTGTGGCCCTTCATTTGAAAAAAAATTGAATCCCCTTACCCGAGGATACTTTGTAGCAATTTTGGTTGAAATTGGCCCTGGTTTTTGAGAAAAAGATTAAAATGTGAAAAGTTTACAATGACAACATGGACAATGACAACAACAACAACAACAACGACAGACAACAGACAAATTTTTATAAGAAAAGCTCACTTTTAAGCCATTGGCTCAGATGAGCTAAAAATGAAAAACATTTTACAGATTCATTTTAGCTAAGTAAATATATTATCATGATTATGCATCTCGTAATTTATTTAGGGAAAGAACATTCTGATTAACAATCTGTTTAATGATTAAAAGGGATTATTTTGAAGAGGATCATTTGTGTTATACAGAAAAAGTCATTTAGTACGACTTCACGGATACTGCAAATTTACTAATATTTATCGAAGTTATCTTGTTTCCCGAGTTTTATAAATATACTGGAATTAAAGGCAAAGAATTATGCACCAAACAAAGATTTAAAACAGAAAGGGTAATTTTGACCATGACGTAGAAACTTCGACCAAGGTCACTGCACATCCACTGGAACTCTGTGAGTGAAGTAATAGCTAGAGAGGAGATTTACTCCGGACTAGGATTTTTCATATAATGCTGCTATGACCTTGACCTAGAAACCTGGTTTAAGGTCACTGCACATCGGTTACCCAAAGACACTCTCTAGTGAAGTATGAGGCAGTAAGGGCCAAGAAGAGAGAAGATATGCTTCGGACAAGGATTTTACATATAATTCACTTATGACCTTGAACTTTAGTATGAGGCAGTAAGGGCCAAGAAGAGAGAAGATATGCTTCGGACAAGGATTTTACATATAATTCACTTATGACCTTGAACTTTAACCTAAAAACCTGGTTCAAGGTCACTGCGTATCGGTTACCCAAAGGCACTCTGAAGGTGGAGGAAAGAGAAGAAATGCTTTGGACAAGGTTTTTTTTATATAATTCAGCTATAAACTTGACCTTTAACCAGGAAACCTGGTTCAAGGTCACTGCACATTGGTTACCCAAGGGCACTCTGTGGGTGAAGTATGAGCCAAATTGGGCCAAGAAGAGAGGAAGAAGGAGAGAAGATATGCTCCAGACAAGGATTTTTCATATAATTCTGTTATCACCTTGACCTTTAACCTAGAAACCTGGTTCAAGGTCACTGCACACCAGTTACCAATAGGCATTCTGTGGGTGAAGTATTAGCCATATTGGGCCAAGGAGAGAGAAGATATGCTTCGGAAAAGGATTTTTCATATAATTTAGCTTTGACCTTGACCTTTAACCTAAAAACCTGGTCCAAGGTCACTGCGCATTGATTACCCAAAGGCACTCTGTGGGTGAAGTATGAGCCAGATTGGGTGAAGGAGAGAGAAGAAATGCTTCGGACAAGGTTTTTTCATATAATTCAGCTATGAACTTGACCTTTAACCTAGAAACCTGGTTAAAAGTAACTGCACACCTTTTCCCAAAGGTACTCTGTTGGTGAAGTATGAGCCAGATTGGGTGAATGAGAGAGAAGATATGCTCTGGACAAGGATTTTTAATATAATTCAGCTATGACCTTGGCCTTTGACCTAGAATCTGAAACCTGGTTCAAGGTCACTGCACATCGGTTACCCAAAGGCACTCTGTGGGTTAAGTATGAGCCAGATTGGGCCAAGGAGAGAGAAGATATGCCCCAGACAAGATATCTCGGACGGACGGACAGACTGATCACTATAGGGGCCGGCCCGACATTAGCGGGGCCCTAATTACATATATGCATATGTAAAAAGTTTAAGAAGAGTTAGAAGTCTTAAGTCAGAGTTAGAGATAGAGTTCATGTTAGTTAGAGTTAGGAAATGCAGCTAGCAGACTGCATAGATGTTTAAATATACTGAAAGGTAAAAGAAACACACAAGAACATGATATGGTTAAATTTTCTGACTATGTGACCGAAACTTATGAAACTTGGTGAGATGTTTATTTTGGTCACTTTGCACTAAAATCACTAGACAAACTTACTCAACCATGAAATGTATTGCATCACGTAGGGGAAATGATTAAAAGTCAAAATAAAGTGCCCCGCCACAGCATGATACGCCCGTCAAATATTATTCAATAATCATGAATTGGTTAAGATGAAAGAAAATCAGGTAGCCTTGATTAACAGATTGACACAAATTTCAATTATCTAATTTCCATTTCTTATCATACATCTCTAAGAGACTTTACAGTGTAGGGATTGATTATAACAAATAATAACATCATATACTTCTAAACTATGTTAGAGCATAACAAATACCCATCGATCTGCAGCTTAAAATTGTTTATTGCATATTTTATGAAATAATGGAAATGCTAGTCAAAAATCAAACATAAATTATTCTTCAGACTATAAAATTTTAAGTGAGGCATGACTGCAAATTGTTGCAAATATATAAAAATTGAAATATAATTTTTTTTTTCAATGAACATGTATAATTAGTTTTAATCATATTGTACAATACTAATTTAGTTTAAATCATACACTACAACATAAATTTGTTTTAATTAATTACACCAACTGAAAGATCTTGGACTAGCCATCAAGAACTCTTAATTAACACAAGCAACCATGAGGCCATTTCTTTTTGCCCAACTCTCAAAGGATAAATTAAGATAACTCAGCATAAGATCTAAAGACCCTCTTAGCTCCCGACAATGAACTCATTAATTTCTCTCTAATTTGACATGCAAATTTCTGCTATCAAAATTCTTCTTAAAGCAATATGAGCTGTATTTTTGAGAATTTTATTTTGCTGGTAAAATGTGTTATTATGATTAATCTGTGTGTAATCTAAACCCTTATGATCTATAAAAACCAAAATAAAGTTTTAAAATGTTGCAGAAGAAATGTTTCTGTACAACCGAATATACAGTATTATATAAGAAATCATTATTGTACAGGACGACAATAATTCAATTTTGCTTCAATCAAAGCGTATAAAAAGTTCTTTCATAGCAAATATGAACAATTGAAGTTTATAAATGTTCTACTTTTCTGTCATTGACATAGTTAATTACAAATTTGCAAAAAAATTTTCCGATGTCAAACATGCAGCTCATATTGCTTTAACCAGTGCTTGATAATTATGCCCATGGGACAAACTGAATTCCTCTCAAAGCATAGACATTTGTTACAGATTGCTGTTAAGTATATAATGAAAAAATAAGTTTTTGCTTAATTTAACATCTTTTAATAAGGATACAACTATATTTTTATATTTTTTAGGATTATGAAATTTAGAATTTAAAAAAGTTAGTTAAAAAAAATAAATCACTTTAATTAAAGGTCACAGTCACCTTGAAATAGGCCCGGACAACCTTCTACTTTAGATTATACTTTTGCCAAAGCTCTAGGTCTAATAATGTTCTAGTTATGAGCTGGACAGGATTTTTCCATATTTGTTTATAGCATATTTGTTGCAAATAATAATATTTTTTTTTTCAATGAACACATATATTATTAGTTTTAATCATATTATACAATACTATTTTAGTGTTAACCATACACTAAAACATTAATTTGTTTAAATTAATTACACCAATTGAAAGATCTTGGACTAGCCATCAAGAATTCTTAATTAACACAAGCAACTATGAGGCCATTTCTTTTTGCCCAACTCTCAAGGGATAAATTAAG